AAGTCCTAGGTTTTGTCTACCTAGCTGACTGTTCTTCCTTCTTGGGCTCCTCTATCACCGGAGCCTCTGCTGGCGGTTGGGATGGAGAGAGGGAGAAAGAGCGGCAATACCTTGGTTGAGAAGGACTTCATGGTGCCCAAGAGCAGAGAGGGTTGGAGAAAAGTGAACGCTCGACTAATTATAACAACATATAGGAGAGGATAACTAAGTGGGTGTAGGGTGTATTAAATTGACGAGACCAGATTGTTTTATCTAGTGGCTATTTCACTCGTTAAGCACCAAACAACTGTTGTATTATTAGTATTATTCGGTCCCTTATACGAGTTGTCAAATGATACCTAAGTAAACTGCGGGACTAAATTTGTCATTTAGTACACATTAGGTTCTTAGTGTTATATCCCAAATTTTTCAAGACAAGCTCGTGTGGTACCATATACCAAATTTCAGTCAAATGCATTAACATGAATGAAAATGCTCTTTCTTCACTTTTAATTCATTCAGCTATAGCATGTTGTAGGCGGGTCCTGTTTAAGAGTGCTTAACAACATGTCTGTGTTTGCCTTAATGTTACATGTGTAATTGTCAAAGATAGTTAGGTCATCTCCAATGGAGATAGCTAAAGGTTTAAAAATCAAAAAAGGGCCTAATTTGTCCAAAAACTCATTTCCAACCGATGGCTGTACTATAATTCTATGGAACCCATTTGGCTATTATTTGGCCAAATGGGCATCAGGCTGACCAAATGTAATCTCCCTCTTAGTCCTTTTTTTGTGACCCAACTCCTCAATTATAATAATTAATTCAAATTCAACGACTATATTTCAAAACATTAAATGGTAATTTAATTAAATTAACTCAAAACATCAAATGGTAATTTAATTAAATTAACTAATAAATTTAATTATAAACTAAAAATAATAAATTATTGAGGAGGCTTTGTTTAATCTTTTCGGTTAGAGATGATATATGAATATGGCTCGACATTGTTCATTTAGATTTTTTGCATGCCTATAATTTTGGACGGAAATAACCCTTTTGATTGGAGATGGCCTTAATTAGATAAGTTAACCCTAATTGCTAATAAAGGATTAAGCCATCGGACCTAATAAAAGCAGACAGTGCAGAGAAAAGATGCATCACCAACCCTTTCTTTCCCATCTGCCTCCCACCAAATGGATAATTAAGAAAAAAGGAAAAAAAGAAAAAAAGCAAAACTAACAAATTTGAGAGGCAGCACAAAGCTCTTTTGCTTGGCCATGCACCATTTGTAGTAGAATCTCATTGGCCTCTAGTGCCATGTTGGGTGTGGAATAATGGATTTGCTCATCATTACTACAATCAAAAGGAGGGTGAGGGTCTCGCTCTTGCTCCATTCTCTTCTGTCCTTTGGTCATATTTCACTCCCAAGCTCACAGTCTCTTTTGAAACCAAATCATTTCTTCTTGAAAATCTGTCTCCATTAACTTGGCCATGCAAATTTCCATGCAAGAATATCAAATGATAAAAAAAGGGGCAACCCCTCTGTTTGATTGATTGGGAAATTTTCTTTATGGTGTTCGATTGGTTTAAGTTTAGTTTTGGAAAACCGAAAATATGCCTAAGAGGTTGAGATTTACTGTTATGTGCGTAAAATAACATTTTTGTTAAGTATATTGATTTTCACACTCTTACTTTATTAGTATGCATTTTTCATTTAATTTTTATATATGCTTTAATTTGTATGCTAATTTATTTTAATAATAAAACTTCACAAATATTTAGATCAAGGGAGCAATCCCACAGCTCCTTCGGACATTGTTTCGCTTTCGAATTGGACTGTAAAGTTATAAAATAATCAAAGTTAGATTAGCATTGTAGTCTGAGTTTTATAGACTACAATGATTAGTGGGATATAAAATGCATCTCCCCCAAAAAGAATGTTCTCAAGGGGACCTTGGTTCATTCTAGGAATATCAACTTTGAGCAAAGCTCACCCTATAAGGCTAGAACTATACGTTCTTTAAGAAGTACATGCATCCATTAATATGGATTATCATGCAATTTATAAAACAATTCCACAATTAAAGTTAGTAAGTTAGTTCAGTACGTTTCTTAATTAAGATAAGATGACTTCTAATTAGATCCCACTCAAAGTTAAATAATTATTCACAGTGACCCACATCTCACCTTTCATCTAGGGGTGTTGACCGGAACAAGTGAACAAAATAAAGCAAATATAAAAGGTTTTGCACTGTGTCTTGCTCATCAATAATTCAAGATTTTATTCTTTTGTCTCCAGCGTTTCGATGGCCCGTTATACAGTACATTTTGTTCCTTAATTATACAGTTATACAGTATGAGCATACAATTGAAAAGCCGCCTGCCCTATATAATATTAGGAAAACTAATGAAAATAATTTAAAAACTTTAAGTTTTAGCGATAAGGATAAAATAAAAAGTAAAGTGAATGGTACCATGATTGACTTTTTAATATAAAAATGTAGTTTTTCGTTAAAGTAAACAATACCGGGAACTTTTCGTTAAAGTTTCCAATAATATTAGCATTTTGTTCCTTCCCTTTTTGTGCACTATTTGTTCTTTTGGGTTTGTTTCTGCCTAGTAACACAACAAGATAAATGGAGTGAGTTGGTACTTTGTGCTAATCAATTTAACACGTATTAATGCATCATTTGTGAGATCAATATCCATTAACGGTATAGTCGTCTGTTGTTAGCTAACATATTAAAGTTCAAAAGATAGTTAGAATTTTTTAAGAATTATTAATTAGTTTGATTGTAGAATAAATTATTTGTCATGAAAAAGATTAGAGAATGGTTTGAGTTTTCTCAATTTGGGTTTTTTGTTCAAATGTCGAATTTGTTCGTTTGTAAGTTTATTACAAAAACAAAAGGTTGAAGTGATTAGAATCCAATGTTATTTACTCTCTTCCTTTTGTTTTGGAATTAAGATAATTAAGAATTCAATCAAACCATCCAGGTCGAACACACATGAAAAAGGTAAACCCAAGTCCAATCACATCCATTAAAATGTCTGAAATATATCCAATCTTAACCAGTGTTTAGCTAGTTGAAGAATACGTAGTGAAGAAGAACTTTCATGAAACGAGATACATATTACTTACTAGCAGATGTTTACACACAGTGTGTGAACAATTTCATTTTATTTTAGAAGTGTAATTAGTTTTTAAAATTCTATTAAAAAAATATAAAAAAAAATTCGTTATGAAAAATGGGACAATAATTGGGCAACTTCTTCTAACGTTGCGAGGGCATATTTTTCATTTTTTAAATAGGGCATGCTATGCTTACATGGTTGCGAGGTTGGTGTAAAATACAACAAAATTTATGTTCATGTATTACCAAAGTGTCCATGTTTTTTTATTTTGGTTCAATATTGGTAACGGGGTTAAAATGGTACTTTCATAGAATTTTGATTAACAAACAAGGTTCTATTAATATGTAGTTTAAATGATACAACCAACATAATATCACTAAAGGTTTTAGACGTACAAAAGTGGATCCATGATCATTAGCTCCGTTTGTGTCTTGAAATTGGTTTTAATATGTATGTATGTGGACTGGTGAACCGGTGACTATATATTTTGAGTATTTTCTCTAAAAATTTAGGTACGTGGCGTTTTGTGAATCACCGAAGCAACAAGGAATCGCTAGTCTTCTTCAGCTTATTCATAGAAAGTTAAATGCATGATAATGTATAACTAGATTGGAATACAACGACAAACAATTTTCATGTTGAAACTTTAGCCGCTAGCGAGAGAAAAAAAAAAAAACCTTTGTCGCCTAGCAAAAGACTATGAGAAGGAAGTTCGCCATTTGTTGGATCGAGGCAACTGCAAGCAGAGTATTTCTTCGGATGATCACATGATCATCAGAACTGCAGCCTTTTTCTCGTAGTGCCCTTGCGAAAGATCTCTAGCCTCCACGCGGAGCAGTTTCTGAAGACGTCGTTAGGGGCTGTCTTGTCTTCAATCTCCAATAGACAACAGAATAGTCGTCGAGATAGTGGATATACTGGATACCTGCACACTGCCATAGCAAACTGCAGTAGGTCAAGCCCAGTACAGTACACTACAGATACAGATACAGAAGCTGCCTAGCTTAGCTAGCTTTGCTTTGCCTTCCCTCTGTTATGAAAGTGACTGGAGGGACAGTTTGTCGTGTGCCCGTGAAATCTGAGGCGAAGTAAAACCCAACCCAGTTCATTTATTTTCTGCACCCACTAAACCAACTTTAATTTGGTCAATAACTTAAGAGAGAGAGAGAGAAGTAATATGTGACTTTGGTGTGACATTCTGACTACTGGGTATTAATGGGTTCTCTACTAAATTTACCTACATGAGAAAACAATGTCTCGTTTTTACGAGAAATTTTTCAATGAGTCAAAAATATATTTTAATATACAAAATATTATTATATAAGGGATTAAATTCTTTTCTTCAGGTATTTGCTATTTGTATTATAACACTTGATGTACCGGACCGTATTTCAAACACACTAAAAATATATCCATTTATACAAGACAAGATTTCATGTCATGTATGTTGAAAAATGAGAGTATGCAAAATGAACGAACAAACTGACTACTTATTGAGATATATTTACTCAATTAACTGAAAAACGCTACAAGCTTGCCAAAAATGCTATGTAATTTAAAGAAACTACATCATGCCAGACTTTGTCATCCCAATAAAATTATAAACTTCTTATTTATAAAAAATACTAACCCTAAATCTCATAGGCAAGGAATCATTATTCTACAAGAAAACCCTAAAACATAAATACTAAGATAACCTTAGACTAGACGGTTATCAACTTTACTTGTCCAATGACATGCCTATATATATCATTTTTATATCACTCATCTCGTGATCATATTAACTAAATATATAATGAGGGAGACAAGGAGACGAACATATTTACTAAATATAATGAGGGAGACAAAGAGACGAACATACAATAGTTTACAGGGAAGTTATTTTCGTGTTTGTACATATTTTTTTGGTGGAATGAGCTTTAATTTGATGAGTATTAACTATTAAGGACATCTTAAAGAAAAGCAAAGAAAGGAGAAAAAAAAAGGATAAAAGAGAAGGTCTTTCTCACAGACACAGATGCCTATAGAATGAGGGAAGGATACCCAGCATATGTCATTCTCTTTGCTCAAGTATAATGGGCCTTGTTTTGTTCCTTTTTAACAAATCACACATCTTTCCAGAGAGAGAGAGAGAGAGAGAGAGAGAGGGAGAGGTGGCATAGATAGATTCAGTTGCAGGAGTTGGGATTTGTTTTAGATGAATGTTAGATTTGGTCCAATTAGGTCTGCAGCTACCAAACAAAACACCCAGTTTTGAAAAACAGAGGCAAAGGGAAGAAGAAGAAGAAGAAAGAGAGAGAGAGGAGAAAGAGAGAGAGAGAGAGAGAGGGAGGCAAAAAAAGGAGGAAGAAGAAAATGGAGAGCATGATTAGTTTATATGTTGCCCAATGATTGAGTTGCCTTGCTACAACAGAAAATTACCCAACAAGCTCTGATCACAAAAATAGAAGGAAGAAATCTCAAAAACCATGAAGTCCATGAGTAATGATGGTAGCAACAGTAACAGTAATAATAACTGGTTGGATTTTTCACTGTCTCCAAACATGAAGATTGAGTCATCTTCCTCTTCTGTTGCTGCTGCTGCTAGCTTTTTTCACTCACCACCTCACTTTAACTATGGAATTTACTATGGCCTTGAAGGAGGAGGAGGAGGAAGAGGGGAGGATAACAGTCCAGTCCTGTACTCCCCTCTTTCCATGATGCCACTCAAGTCTGATGGCTCTCTCTGCATAATGGAAGCACTCAACAGGTCCCAGCACCACCTTCAAGGTACTATTTTCTCCTGCGATTATTATTTCTTGCTTTTGTTTGGTAAAAAAGAATTGAACTTTTTATTTTTTTTACTGTTTTTATCTGAAGCTGCAATGGTGACAACAACTAGTCCAACTCCAAAACTAGAGGACTTCTTTGGAGGTGCAACCATGGGGACCCATCAATATGAAAGCAGTGACAGAGAAGCCATGGCTCTCAGCTTAGACAGCATGTTCTACCTCCAAAACCCACACCCAACAACCCAACATCATGTACCCAGCAACCACCAAAACTTGATGAGCCATAGTCTTCAGCAGCACCAGCAGCAGACCCAGCAACACCAACAACAGTACTCATCATCATACTACTCAGGCCTCAGAACCCATGCGACGATCTTGGAGGAGGGTCACAAACAAACCCATGTTTCAGCAGATTATTACAATATGCACCCAGCAAGAATAGGGATTGATCAGAGCATCGCAGAGATGAAGAGCTGGGTTTCCAGAAACAATGCCATGGATCAGAACAACATGGCTGCTGGGTGCATGGGAGAAAATGGGGATTGTCCTATGGGGATTTGCAGTGTCTGAGCTTGTCCATGAGCCCTGGCTCACAGTCTAGCTGTGTGACCAGCTCACAGCAGATTTCTCCCACTGTGACTACAGATTGTGTGACATTGGTGGATACCAAGAAAAGAGGGCTTGAAAAGGTAGATCAAAAGCAGATTGTCCACAGGAAGTCCTTGGATACATTTGGCCAAAGAACCTCTCAGTACAGAGGAGTCACAAGGTTAGTCATTTCATTTTTTTTCATGATTATTTTTTTGTTTTTTCAACTTTTAAAACTAGTATTGGGTAAAAGCAAACTGGGTTGTGAATTTTCTCTCGAGTTTTCTGATTTCTTGATGCATTTGTATTGATCAGGCACCGATGGACCGGTCGATATGAAGCACATCTATGGGACAATAGTTGCAAGAAAGAAGGCCAGAGCAGGAAGGGAAGGCAAGGTTTGTGAAGAAAACAAATTGATGTTTTTAATGCATTTTTCTTCCAGTCAATTTTTGCTTTTCTTCTGACTATTTTCCATACTGTGTTTTTTATTTTTTTGGATTTTTCTTGATTGGCTGGAAATTACAATCAAATGATGAATCTTCAGTTTACTTGGGTAAGCATTTCTTTTACATAAAATTTGATTGACCATTTTAGCTGTCAAACAAGGTTGTTTTTGTTTATCTAATCATTCCAAATTTTGCATTTTAGGAGGTTATGATATGGAGGAAAAAGCTGCAAGAGCTTATGATCTAGCAGCACTCAAGTATTGGGGACCATCCACTCACATTAATTTCCCAGTAATCATTCTGTTTTTTCATTGCACTTCTTTTTTTTTTTTTTTTTTTCAATCCATACCTATATTTATTTTGGTTACTAAAAATGCAACTTCTAGTTGGAAGACTATCAAAAAGAACTAGAGGACATGAAGAATATGACCAGACAAGAATATGTTGCTCACTTGAGAAGGTAGATCTTTGTTTTTGTTCAACGTATTAATCATGTATTATGTAGATTTATGAGCGTTTAAATGTTAACTAGTTTAGTAACGTAAAGCGGTCTTTACAGGAAAAGCAGTGGATTCTCAAGAGGGGCTTCAATGTACAGAGGAGTGACAAGGTCTTATTAGCTATTCATAATTTCAAATAATAATTTAGATAAAAAAATCTATGAGAAAAGTGAATATATATTAAATAAAAATCTCTGAAATCAATCTGTTTTCTATTTTCTCTGTGTAGCAGACATCATCAACATGGAAGATGGCAAGCTAGGATCGGAAGGGTTGCTGGAAATAAGGATCTTTATCTTGGGACATTCAGTGAGTGATTTTTCAAACTTTCACCTTTAGAAGACAAAATATCCTTTTTTTGTATATTTTTCAAGCATGTTATCATTATTTTTAGATAGTAGGGAAAAAAGAGATTGAATGAGATGATTCTTTGACTTTCAAAGGCCAATCTTTGAAGCACTCTCAGCCCTGTCTTTTAGCCAGTTATGGATACTACAGTATGGTTCTTAGGTGGTCAGCTTGACCTTCCCACTACACTTTTGCTAAGGCTGCTCCCTTAGAGGCTCCCCATGTTTTCCCAGCTTTAAAATTTGATGCTCATGCTTTTATGAGTTTCCGTAAAACCCTAAGTTTTTCGGTTCTCTTTAATCTGTATTCTTTAGGCACCCAAGAGGAAGCTGCTGAGGCTTATGACATAGCTGCTATCAAATTTCGAGGACTGAATGCTGTGACCAACTTTGACATAACACGGTATGATGTGGATCAGATTATGTCTAGCAATACCCTTCTTGCCAGCGAACTTGCCAAGCGAAACAAGGAGGTTGTGCTCGTTAATGAGGCTACTAATCAAAACAATGTCACCCAAATCGGCAATGGGGAAGCTGTTGTCTCACGGAAGAACATTAGTGAAGGTGAAGATTGGAAAATGGCACTCTACCAGTCCTCCTCCCAGCAACTTGATCAGAAGCAACCGAGCACTGAAACTCGCAATGTGACTCAAGCTGAGGCAGAGGACTTTGGCAAAATGGGGGCTGCTCATTTTTCCAATGCATCTTCATTGGTGACAAGTTTAGGTAGCTCAAGAGAAGGGAGCCCTGATAAGTCAAGCCAACCAAGTTTCTTCGGAATGCCTCCATCTGCTTCCAAGTTTTTCACAAGTTCAAGTGATGCAGTGAGTTCTTGGATCCCAACAGTCCAATCCAGGCCAGGACTCACCAACCCTCACATGCCGATTTTCGCAGCCTGGACAGATGCATAGCCATAGCCATAGGCTATGTGTTTTTTGCTCATCTGTGGAAAGTTTTTTTCACTAAATTACATGCAAACAATAGCTCAAGTAGTTTTTATCTTAGTGGAGTGAATTATGGTTAATGATATGGTCCTGGGAGGGGCCTTTTGCGAGCAAAGTAAGAGAAAACTTCACCGATCTCCCTCGTGTTTTTAAGCCTGTCTTATCAAAGCCACTAAGAATAGCCTAGTGGTGAGGGTGTGGGTAAGGGGTGGGGTAGTTCTAGGTCCCAGGTTCGAAACCTGGTGTGTGCGTGTGTGTGTGGGTTGGGGTGGAAAAAAAAAATGGCGTATCTTATCAAAATGTTGAAAGAAACTGAGGGGAAAAAGTATCTAAGGTGCTCTAAAAAGATTGAAGAAAATTTATGAAATGATAATGCTATATGATTTTCGTAATTTCCCAACAGCTTTACTACCCCTATAAATGCAGGATCAGCTCAGTTTGTGTCCCAATGATGCTGAGACAAATACATAAAATATAGTCTGTTGCTTTTGGGCTTTGACCAGGATATGATCCCCTTTAGGGCAAAATCATTTGCTTAACCGCAATCACGTGATGGAAGAGATAAAAAGTAAGGAATAGAATCGGTTACACGGTAGAATTTCTCCTGTTTTAGCTCAATCATCTGTTGTTAGTTGTGTATGTGCATTACTATAGCATCCTTGCTGATCTACTTTTTACTTAAGTTTTCTGTAACAGATACTCCTTTCATTCCTCCCCTACAATTCAAAAGAAAAAGGGGCGTTGAGAGGTGGAAATGGATTATTCCCAGATCATGAACTGCATGGGTTTTTGTCAATGATTATGATCGCCCATTAGTACTGGGATTTTGTCTGCTATTCTTTGAATTGAAAGCTCTATCTCTTGTTGGAAAAAACCTTAAAGTTGTTTCTTTCTAAGCCCACTTTAATCATGTATAAAAAAGAATGCAACCCCATGTTCCATGTGGGCTGTTACGATCAATCAAAATCACATTAACCTTTGAATTGGTTGTTTTCGCACGTGCAGTAACAGGTAAAAATCATTATGCATGCTTGGCAAGAGAGAGTAAATTCTGTGCACCGTCTTTTCCTTTTTGCATACCTTTTTTAAGTTTAGTTGCTTATTTTGCTTTAACTTATTTAATCCAATAACTTCAAGAAAAATATTGTGAATAAAGTAAAAATAAATAAGCTACGGCAAAATAAGCTACACATCAATTTGGTTTTTTATTTTACTTTTAGTTTATGTGCACAAATTATTCTATGCACAAATTATTTTTCTTGAACAAACTAAATAAGCTTATTTAATTTTATTTAATTTTGTTTACTCGTGCAGTAGTGAATTTCAGCAAAATAAGCTTATTTAATTTTATTTGTTGTACCAAATTTATTGATTTTTGAACCTCAATGACCAAAATGAGGAGTTTGATCAATGTCAGGGATCATGGGATAAAAACCCTTATTTTGTGTAATCCACGTGTCACCATTTCATTGGATTTGTGGATCCTACATACAAACTAACAGAATAGTTGACAGAATCTTAACGGAATGATCAAATTGATGTGAGTTAGTCAATGTCAGGGACGACATTGATTGATTTTGAAAATGAGGGACCAAAATGATGAGTTTGGTTAATCTCAGGGACCATTTATGATAAAAACCCATAAATAAATAAATAAATAAATAAGATTAGTGTGGCGAAGTTATTTCTGAATTTTTTGGATTTTTCTGCAACGTAAACGTAGTTTTAGCCGTTACTTTGATGAATTCACAGTTTCACACTTGTTTACTAGGTTGTAGATCAATATCAAGTTATTTCATCACGTTCGTATTCAATGCAATTTCACACTGTAGATGAACCCTTAGTCCTAAGTTTTAGGAAACATAAGTACTGAATTATGGAGAGGAGGTCACTTAGTATGAAGTACGTACTTGCAGTTGCAGAAATAAAACTACTGCTAGATTATTGGTTGAGTACCCTTAAGGTTCTGGCCTTCAAAACATAGACTGCCGTGTGAACCTTCACGCATAATACAGGACTGGGTACATATACAGGATCTGGGAATTAGACTTCTTCTTATGTTGCTATGGCCCAGGGGTACAAACTATTGTAAAAATTTGAAGAACTTGTAGCTCCAGTGATATGAAGTATTTACGTAACCATAAAAAGTTACCAGATGAAGATGTACAAACAATTGCAAAAATTTGAAGGACTTGTAGCTCCAGCGATACAAAGTATTTACGTAACCATAAAAAGTTACCAGATGAATACTTATCTCACTTTTGTGTTTGTAATATTAGTTACCATGCAAGTCTTTCTTAGCTCTTCACCAGCTCAGCTGATCATGGGATTGGCGATTGTGGGCAGATTAATGATTAGAATCTGTTTCAGTTTTGAGTAACAAATATGGCGGGATAATGAGATTTTCAGTTTGGCATGGTCAGCTCCCTGAACGACATAATAGATTGTAATTATTATTGTTTTTAGCACCAAATTGGTAATCATCAATTTCTGCATTATGCATATGATATGAGATCAAACTTCTTTGCTTGAAATTAGGGTCAATTACCAACTAGACTAAGAACCTTTAGTCTAGTGGTAGTTGTGTTTGCTTAATTGAAAGAAATTTCATGTTCAATTTACATGATGTGATGGCTATGCATCTTTGTCAAGATTTCAATATATTGTGGTTAGCTAGCCTTGTGATGGTGTCGTAACTTTGTTGTATATTCCTTGTACCTTCGAAGAATACGGTATGAATATCATATCTACCGTTTAAAGCACTACTTGATCACATCACAGTTAATTGATGGGTTGGTGCATGTGAATTTTAAGTTGTTGAGTTGCTCTACAGGTTAAGACACTTGGACAAAAGTAATGAATTTATAGTAGTAGGATCCAAAAATTAAAAGTAAGATCTTAAATCTTAACAACCCATACATCTAGGCACACCTATTTTGACATTAAAACTGAAAGTCGGTTTGTTGTGTGGAAATAAAAGGTAAATTAATGATCATTTGGGTCGAGATCGATGCCTTTTGATTGAAGGGAAGCACCAAATCCTTTTTCTTTATTTATTTTTCCTTTTTTTTTTTTTGGTTCAAAAGGGTAAAAGGAAAAGTGCAGTCAGTGGTAAAATAATTAAAGTGACCAAAAACTGATAGTATTAAGACAAAGAAAGAAGCCAGAGGCATGCGTGAGAAGAAAATAATAAGTCTAAATAAAACAAATAGAAAAGAACATAAAGAGAGAATAGCATGCATGCTGTGAGGTCCAAAAGGAATATTAACAACTGGACGTGGAAAAGATTGCAAATTAAAGTTGAAAAATTATTGTCCTTACTCGCACAAAGAAAAGGTGTACGGTTTTCGGTTCTTTGAATTTTCATTGTGTTTGTTTTACTCTGAAAAATGTTGAGAATTTATAAAGCCAAATGTTTTTTGTTCTCTTGCATTCAAGAGAACGACGTACCCTCGTATCGATTTCACATCAAACAGCATGGGATCTACAATGTTTTTTTTTTACCCTGACTTTTTTGAGACACCCGCGTGAGATCAAAGTAACTTACCGTCTGTTCGCTCTCTGTTCAACAAAAGCTAGCAATATTAACTCACTATCCCTCGAGGAAAATATTCAGGGAAAAAAGGTGCTAGGGCATTTCAAATAGTGGCACAACATTAAGCGGGGGCAATAGAAGTCTTCCCTGACTCCTCTATGTTTGGATTCGCATATCTGAATTTACCGTTGGACTCATCTCCATGTAAACAGTCATTGACCTTTTCCTACGCATGCAATTGTCTTCATAAATTAACTCGCGGACTTTGATTGGAAATTCGGAAAAGAAGTTTGGAAACGCAATAGGTTGTAACACAAAGTTTAGAGAGGGTGAATAGACTTTATTCAATTTCAATAAACTTAAATTATTAATCACATTGATCAAGTATGTAGCAAAAATAGAAAATAGGTTATGTAACAATCAGACATTAGGATTGAAAGCGGATATCAATCTTGTTACGCATATAAATAAAGTGCTTAAAACTAAACACAAGGATTAGCGAGGAGGGAGTGTACAAAAAGTGCAATGGCATAGGGCCTTGAATTTTTTTAGGGGCCAAAATTTTTTATCCTCCTATAAATTATATATGAGTACAAATTTCTAATAAAAAAGTTGTAACTGAAAAGAAAAATCATAATCATCATATGATTTTCTCTATATTACAATTGATTAAGTGGAGCTTATACTTAATATATTAATTTTCTACTTTTCTCTAGCAATAAAAAACTTGTGTATTACTTTCTTCCACAAATACAAACGTATTTCCATCTCTCTTTCAATTGTGCTCCATTTTTTCATAGATGAACCCTAAATCATGATTTTATGTTGGAGATTATTTAATTAGTAAGAGTGAGGTGTTGATTTTTAGATTAAGTTTGAATATTGATTGTTGAGCCTTGTATAAAATGTTGTCCAAACTTTTTTTTTTTAAATAAGGAGGGTCTTTTTATTAAATTCGCAAAGGGCCCCCAAAATATTAGAGACGTCCTTGTTAGCGAGCTAAAACTCCAACACATGGAGAAACATCCTCGGCACACAGGCCGTGAAACAAACCAACTATGAGAAAAGTAACTTTACAAGAGTCACTCAATTGACTGCTGTAAGCACCATGGCATAACCTTGCCTTTATCAATCAAGTCCTCAATAGCATAGCGAAACACAACGTCGTTGTTAGTTGCATGCTTGTTAGAATTGTGGAATTTGCAGTAAGCTTCCCTTTCAAGTCTTCGGCCTTAAGTATAACATGGCCTAGCTGAAGCTTGATCATGTTCGTCGCAAGGAGTTGATCGAATACAAGTGAATTATTGATTTATTTTCTGTTATTTTATGCTATTTTGTAGTCAATTATTGATAAGGAATTAATACATTTTTATTTTGGAAAAGAAAAAGGTGGTTGTCTAAACCCTCTTTCCAAGCTCTGTGATGAGATGTTGAGGAAGGAATGGAACGGAGGAGGCGGCAAGTTTCCTTCTGTCGCACATACAAGTGAATGAAGAGAAGAAGACCATGAGACCTAATAAACCGGCTGCCTACAACAATTGAATTAAATTTGATAAATTAACTAATAAAAATTCGGCCACTTAATATTACGGTTTAGTGA